TTCTGAAAACACACCATTTTTTCTCAGTAGCGTTTAGACTGGTGTGAGTTGATATACTTTTCACACTTTTATGTGAGTGTTTTAATGTGAATAGTTTTGTCTTTTGTTTTATTTAATTATTTTTGTACAGCACTTTGGGCAAACTTTGTTTTTTAAATGTGCTATATAGATAATTTGTATTTCTATTTTGTATTTAGAAACCACTAATCTATAAATCAACATTAAACTTTCCAGATGATGCTTATCGGATCATTTGTGACTGCTAATTACAAATTATTCAAACTCACTGGAATCAGAAACAGCATTATTTTACTTATTTAACAAACAACTTTTGAATCCACACTAAAGTATTCCCCTCTTAGTGTTTTGCATGGTGTGGAGGGCTAAATATTAATGAATTCAGTGTGACACCACTGCCACCATGAGGTAAAAGTGAAACATTACACAATTATAATAAATATGATTTAGAAAAGAAAAGACACATTTGTGGGATCATAAATTATGCTTAATGCACTGGGTATAATATTGCACAATATGCATGATTTATTCTTTCCCAGATGTACCTTTTGTTAATGTCCTATGTTGTGCAGAACAGAAGAAGAACTGATCACAGTATCAGAATTCAGTTTTCCTAAGATGCTCCCAGCCAAATCACAGGAGTACAAATTGTTATGTTTGTTGTTGTGTTATGTTAATCAATAGATTAGTACGGCTGTCGTGCTGTTATGACAGAGTATAAGGGCCATATTAAGAAAAAAAAAATCACTTCAATTTTGAAATTAAACTCTTAAATCATATTTGAGAAAGTTGACACAAGGCATCTACACAAAAACACATTCTTTATTTCACAAGACTGTAAATATTAATCTTTGCATCTGTCCACTGCCAGCTAATTCATTTAGTACAAATCTGGCTAACTCGTCCATGTTTGTGTGTTTTTTTCCTTTTAACCAGAAGAGATGGCACAGATTTCTGCGCCATCTCTTCTAACTTATTACTACATTACTAACTTATTACTACATTGTGTTTGTTACTGAACACATTCGTACGTATCACTAATTCATCTTTACTGGTGTATAAGCCTTTTGCACATTACTCATTTAGCCTCAAATACAAAATATTAAATGTTCCAATAAAAAATACACAAACAAATTATATAAAACATAAAAAATGTGTTTTCTTTTTATTCACTCTGGTCTGAGGTGCTGGGGGGACCAGTTAGAGAACAGCAGCTGGATGCAGTGGTTGGACTGGTGGACTACGTCAGTGAAGAGTAGACGACGTCTGGCTCTGGTTTAAAGTCTGAACACAAACACACACAGTTCAAACAACAGGAAACATGATTACAAGCTTTGTAGTTCAATCA